CCTGGGGGATGTGGGATACACCTGGATACACCTGGGGGACATGGGATGCACCTGGATACACCTGGGGGATGTGGGATACACCTGGATACACCTGGGGGACATGGGATACACCTGGGGGACACCTGGGATATCCTTGGGGATCTCCGTGGTCAGCTACACACTCGAGGACGTGCACGATGAGCAGGTGAGAAGGGGGACACCTGGACACACCTGGGGGACATGGGATACACCTGGGGAATGTGGGATACACCTGGGGGATGTGGGATACACCTGGGGTACACCTTGATACACTGGGGCATGTGGGATACACCTGGATATACCTGGGGGCCATGGGATACACCTGGGATATACCTGGGGGACACCTGGAATATACCTGGATACACCTGGACACACGTGGATACACCTGGGACATACCTGGAATATGCCCAGGATTCACCTGGGGGACACCTGGGATATACCTGGGATACACTTAGGGGACATGGGATACACCTGGGATACACCTGAGGACATCTGGGACACACCTGGGATACACCTGAGGACATCTGGGACACACCTGGGGACACCTGGGACACACCTGGGATACACCTGGGGTACACCTGGGGATACTGGGCACAGCTGGGACACAGCTGGGACACACCTGGGGTAACTGGGAACAGTTGGGATACACCTGAGACACACCTGAGGACACCTGGGACACACCTGGGGACAGCTGGGACACACCTGGGGACAGCTGGGACATACCTGGGATACACCTGGGGATACCGGGGACACCTGGGACACGCCCAGGACACACCTGTGGAGTGTTCCAGCCGATGGAGTGACCCAGGTGTGCCTGTCCCAGGGCTCACCTGCACTCAGGTGACGCGGGGTGACACAGGTGTGACAGGGGGGTCCCACGTGTGTCCCAGGTGTGACAGGTGTGTCCCAGGTGTGTCCCAGGTGTGTCCCCAGGTGTGACGCAGGTGTGACCCACGTGTGTCCCAGATGTGTCCCAGGTGTGACAGGTAACCCAGGTGTGTTGTTCCAGGATTACCTGCACTCCTGGGCAAGGCCCGCACGGCTCAGGGG